GAAGAAAAAATGAAAGTTTGGACCTCCTGAGCCTTTTGATTTTACACAACCGGCAAAGTGGCCGTCATAGCATCAAGGGTTCTCCCGGTTCAGAGTCGCATCAAAACTCGACAAAGAGGACGGCAAGGTGCAGGTGAACTCGCTTCTGTAATCAGTGGGGAAAGATTCAGAGCCAATCTACGGATCATTTGTGTTTCCTGCTGCTACGGAGGAGAGGCCACATCCAGAATATGACTTTACTCTTGTGATGGGAAAGTTTGACGAGCACTTTGTCCCTAAAAGAAACGTTATCCACGATCGCGCCTGTTTCTACAAGCGGAGTCAAAGGGCCGGGGAGACAGTGAAGGCTTTCGTGCGGAGCCTCTATGAGCTCGAGCAGCACTGCGAGTTCGGCGCTAGCAAAGATGAGCAGATCCGAGACCGCATCGTCATTGGATTAGTGGACAAGGAGGTCTCACAAAAACTGCAGCTAGAGGCGGATTTGACCCTGGAGAGAGCCGTCCAGCTACCACGTCAAAGTGAGCAGGTAAAGCAGCAAAGCGCAGAGCAACTGGAGACAACTGTGAATGAGGTGAAGCAAAAACATTACAATAACGCGAGAAGGAGCCATGACAAACCGCAAGCACAGGGGCACGGGCAGAAATACAGTGAAAGTAAGCCAAACTGTCCAAGATGTAACAGAATGCATGGTAAAAGAGAAAATTGCCCTGCCCACAATAAAAGATGCAGAAAATGTAATAAACTGGGACATTTCAAGGTGGCATGCAAAACTAAAATGCTAAAAGAAGTCAGAGCTGAGGCTGTAATGGATTCAGATGAAGATTCATTTTTCATTGGAGAGCTTTTCCTGGGAGCAGCGAAGTCAAAGCCAACAGTCATCAAGGAGTCAAACGCAGACACTGAGTGGGACGTTGAGCTACTGGTCAATGGCAGCTCGGTGGATTTTAAAACAGACACTGGCGCAGACACTACTGCTATGATACAAGAGACTTTCAAAAAGCTCCAGCACAAGCCCATATTGATCCAATCCAAGCCAACTGTGTATAGCCCAGGTGGAAGAGTCAAATGTGCTGGTAAGTTCCTTGCCACTACCACATACAAAGATCAAAAATATCAGCATTGGATCACAGTTATCAAAGGACAGTATGCCAGTAATTTGCTAGGCAAGACTGTGTCAAAGCGCATGGGACTAGTAATGAGAGTCAATCAAGTCAAAAGTGAGTCCACTGGCGATGTGTTCGGGGAAATAGGACTGCTGAACTGTGAGCCTGTTAAAATAGAGCTGACTAAAGATGCAGTCCCATATAGTGTCAGCATGCCACGCAGAGTCCCCTTTCCACTTCTTCCAAAAGTTGAGAAAGAGCTACATCGCATGTTAAACCTCAGGATTATTGACGAAGTTACCGAGCCAACTGACTGGTGTGCACCAATGGTGCCCGCACCAAAACACAACAAGGATCAGGTCAGAGTGTGTGTGGACTTGAAACGCTTGAACAAAGGAGTTAAGCGTGAACGCTACATCCTACCCACACTGGACGACATAACACCCAAGCTGGCCGGAGCAAAGGTTTTCTCCACTCTAGACGCCTCCAGCGGGTTCTGGCAAATCCCGCTGGACCCAAGTTGTCAAAAACTGATCATGTTCATCACTCCTATAGGAAGATTTTGTTTTAAGCGTCTGCCATTTGGCATTACATCAGCGCCTGAGATTTTCCAGTGACTGATGAGTGACCTGCTAAAAGGCCTGGATGGGACAGTCGTTGTTATGGATGATATCCTGGTGTTTGGATCTACTAAAGAAGAGCATGACCGACATCTCAATGCGGTGTTGCACACAATCAAAACATCTGGTCTCAAGCTCAATAGGGTCAAATGTCACTTTGGGAAATGGAGCTGCAGTTTTCACACATCATTAGACACATCATTAGTGGGGATGGTGTGAAACCTGATGAGACAAAAGTGGAGGCTGTTGCTAAGATGCCCAACCTGTCAAATGTGGAACAGTTGAAGCAGGTGCTTGGACTTGTAAACTATGTGGGGAAGTTTCTGCCAGACCTGTCCACTGTTTTGCACCCGTTAACCAATCTGCTCAGAAAAGAGACTGCATGGGTTTGGGGTGAGCTTCAGGACCGAGCCTTTAATAAAGCAAAGGCAATGCTCATGGTGGCACCAGCTCTGTGTTACTATGATGCAAGTAGACAGACAGTGGTCAGTGCGGACACCAGCAGCTATGGGCTGGGTGCTGCACTGTTACAGGACCATGATGGAGAGTTTACATGTTCCTGGTAAACAGTTAGTGGTCGCGGATGCGCTCTCAAGACATCCACTGAAAAACAGTCAGGTGCCAGAGACCGAAACACAAGTAAAGGCATACGCAAACGCTATTGTGGCAAGCAAACCGATAATGTCAAACAAACTAGAGGAAATATGCAGAGAGACTCAAAAAGACTCAGAACTTCAAAAAGTGACCTCCTTCAACCGAAAAGGGTGGCCTTAAAAAATGACTGAGAGTTCAACTATGCATGGATATTACGCTAGAACTGGTCAGTGACAACGCAACACAGTTCACATCTGCAGAGTTCCAAGACTTCAGAGGTATGGATTTTCTCACATAACCTCCAGCCCTCATTATCCACAGTCCAATGGAGCTGCTGAGAGAGCTGTACAAACTGCCAAGTACATACTCAAACAGCCCGACCCTTGCTTAGCACTTATGAGTTACCGCTCCACTCTAATCGCAGCAACTGGTGCTAGTCCTGCACAGCTCATGACAGGGAGACAAATCCGAACCACTGTCCCTGTACTTGAAAAGACACTACTGCCGTGCCCAATCAATCCAGACCAAGTCCTCCTGAAGGACAATGCGGCAAAAGACTCTTACAGATTCTTCTACAACCGCAGACATTCAGCTCGACCACTCTCTGAACTTCACCCCGGACAAAATGTTAGAGTGAAGATTGATGGAGAAAAGGGATGGACAACTCCTGCTAAAGTCATCAGTAAGTCCAAAGAGCCAAGATCCTACCTCGTGGAAATGTCCAATGGAAAGGTGGCCCGTCGCAACAGACATCATCTTCAGGCTGTTCCTGGGACAGCAGAGAATTCTGAACAACAACATGACGATACCACCACATCACAGCAGGACGTGTTCCCTGCTACAGCAGTGGCAGCTTCTCCAGACCCTCCGACAAGCCAGCCACTTGCAGGTCCTCCCCAAGGGCCTCCCGCACAACCTGTCACTCCTGTGCGACCTCAAGGGGCCGAGAGATAAAAGTGCCTCTTCGATTCAGAGACTGATGTTAAAAGGGCAAAATAACCCCCTTCAGGACTGAGGGCAGTCTACCCCAATGATGTCCTGCACTGTTCTATAATGATTATTGTTAATTTTTTAAAAATAAAAAAATAAATAATAATAATAATACATGTAAGGAAAACATTTACGGTTTGTGTTATTGAAATGTATATTTTGTTTGTGTATTTGGTACACCATTTGATTATATGAACATTCAGCTAAAGCCTAGTACTGCTAAATGGCAGTGTTTTTTGTTTTGTTTTTCAAGGGGGAAGATGTTGTGAAGTTTGTTCAATTGCGGCTACCGTATATAGCGAAGACTACCACTAGAGGGCATACGTTACTGTTAAGTTGGGAATAAGTGAGTTCAAGTGTGCGCTCCTGTTAAGATGTACTCACGTTGTAATAAACACGCTTCGAGAACAACTCAGCCGTATGCTTTGCCTCATAACATGACATTTGGTAAGGTTAGTTTTGGGGACACCTTTTTTCCTTTAGGTTAGTGGTGTTGGTACCGGCTTCTACGGCCCTGTAGGGGGTTGGATCAGTGCAACATCATTTTGTTCTGTTTGGACCAGGTCCACCTTTCAGTTGATACTTTGTTTTTGGGCACGGGAGGGGTTTTAGCATTTTAAAGTAAATAAAAATTAACTTAAAAATAAAAACATCTTTTACTTTTGTAACCTTTTCCCCTCCTGTGTCCTTTTTAATATGTTTGATCCACCCAATTCATAACACCATGGCAAAGAATTGAGAAGATTTTTTTGAAGTAGATATCTAAATCAAAGTGTTGAATGTAAAAACACCTACATTCAACCTACAAAAATGATATCTGCCCATCCATGCATAATAATGACTCAAATATCACCAATTAGGCACTGTTTAAATTCACTTCAGTAAATAAACTAGGTTTTTTGAAGTGAATGAAAAAAAAAATTTTACAAAAGGTTAATTTACTTTGATGGAGAACAGTGTGATCTACTTGTGTGTTATTGATTGTGCAGTAACTATAGGAGAAGACTCAAGTACAGGCAAAAGTCAACACCTGCTTTTTGATTCACACCATGAATTATTCATACAAGCACAGAGGGAAAGGTGGAAGAACATGTGTAGAAACGAAAGCCTCTCTGCTCATGGAGATGCAAAACGGGCTTTTAAACAAACTGTTTTACAAAACAATGAAGCCGCAAATTTCAATAAATATTTTGGATAATTTTCAATGTCAAGATTTGCTCCCGTTCGCACAGACTTGGTCTGATCCTGCTGAAATTTGAATCACTAATGTGCGATCTTATCCTGAATATAATACACTCTCTCTCTATATAGTTCAGTTTTCACGAACAGTTACCTTGTTTTGACAGCTCCACCAGATCCATGGTGGGTGATTTTGACATTTTTTAAAAGACGCTTAACTATTGCTATTCAGTTTGTGAATTGAGTAGTAAAGGGCACTGAAATCTACAGCCTTATTTGTGTGAAACTGAGATAAATTACAATTTAAGTTTTCAGGTATAGTTCCAATTGTGTACAAATGTAAATGGTCCTGATTACAACATAGATTTCAAGTTACAATTTTAGTTGCACTGTAATGAATTTAATTTGATGTGCTTTTGTCTGTCTGATAGAGTAGACAATAATTGAATTATATTGGGAAATATGTTTTTGGTTTTGTTTTTTTGGTTTTGTTATAATGACGTACTGCTTTTACCTGTTTTTTGAGAAGATGGACATCTTGTTTGCATTCATCCTCTTCCCAGTGCGCTGATAGGTAATCTTCTAGGTGCTCCTTTATGTATGGAAACAGTATATCCTAATAAATAAATAAATAAATAAAGCAGCAATAATTAGGTCTTAATTAAGTAAAGATACCTCTGCTTAATCCCTTGTGCAGAATTTTTAAAAAGCCACATCCTATACCACCTGCATAACAACAGTAGCTAATCAAGTACATTTTGTCAGCGAGTAGCAGTGCAACAAACAAGAACCGATCGCCATCAAAGCAACACAACGCCATGCAAAGACAAAAAATATACTTTACCTTTACAAACGTAATCGGAGTCGTCGTTCCTTCGATATCCAATAATAGTGCACAAGTATTTACTGGTATTGAGACATTAGCCATTTTTTCTTCTGTCTTTAGCTAGCTTAGCATTGATAGATGCTTTTTACACGGATATGTTGAACTAAGCAGCAAACGGTCAACCCAGCCGGTGCGATCAAATAAGCCTCAGCAAATAACAAACGTCTATAATTCACCATAAATATAATTCACTTGAGAAGGCATGAGCTGTAAACTAGTCTAGCGGTGGTTTGCAACGCTTTGACTTGACACTGTGTTGCAGAAAATGGCCCACATGTTCGGGTTTTGCATACCCAAATCAGCAGGTGGCGCTAAAGAGTTATGGATACAGCGCACTTCTTCTTTTCCTTCTTCTAGTGGAGTTTTATTGGCAGTTAACAAACAACTGATGGTGCATAACATGGATCTGTTAAAATAATCTTATTACCGGCATTACCGTCACCAACTGATAAGGAGTGTGAACTAAAATGCAACTGTTTTGTTTTGTTTTTTCTTCACTCGCACAATAACTCTTATGCCACATACTCCCACACTTTAGGTGGCGATACAACTTGCAGCACTGTCCATCGCAATAAATGCAAATAGAACGACGATCAAAATATTTTGTTCTCTTTATTTGCCAACCTCAATACGCTAAATTTTTATTCTTTGTTAAATACCTGCATACATTTAACTGCTGCAGTCGTAACTACTGCGACATTATTGGAAAAATCAAAAGGAAGTCTTGTCTAGCGCTGTTGGTCCAAAAGACAACTAACGGGATAGCCATAAGTAGGTTATTTTGACGTAGTGTTCTTATATTGTCAGGCCTATTTTGAAATAGAGTTTATATAAAACATGTCAGAGGACTACGAATTTAGTGAAGATTCAAGCCTTATGCGAATGGAGGAGGATGGGGAGGCAAATAGCGACGATCCAATGACTATGGGCAGTGAGACAGAGGCCGAAGGGTACAGGATTGACGCCAGTAAAAACGAAGAGGATGAGGGGTGCGTATAATTTGCTGTTTTATAGCCGTCATTTCTAGATTTAGACCAAAGCACCGCTGTAGTATCAAATGTATTAGACTGTTTTGCAATTGTAACGCGATTACTTGAACCCTATGAAGAACAGCAACACAGATTGTCCGTGCTAATCCCATAAATAAGCACTACTGACATTCACCCTACAAATAAAATTGATGCAACGTACTTATTTTTCTTCGTGGTATTCTTTGCTGTTATCATAAACAGATAATACTGTTATTATTGTTCGAGATTTAAAGGTGCACTAAGTATTTTTTTCTGATGGAGGGTACACCATAGCCATACTACCAGTCAGGTGGGCACACCATCTCTCGTTTTTGTTTTTTGTTTTTGTTTGTTTGTTTTTTTGTTTGTTGTTGTTGTTGTTGTTTTTTTACTACTTTCTACATTTTATATACATATGGAAGACATCAAATTTATGAAGATAGATATATGAAATTATGTTGAAAAGAAAAAACTTAAATAGCTCAGCTAAATATTTTTAGACAAAGGGTGGCTACTTAAAGGCTATTAAAAATTATTATTTAACTTTTTTAATTTGCAACATAATTCCAATTATCTTATCTTCATATATTTGATGTCTTCTGTGTGTATACAAAATGTAGAAAGTAGTAAAAAATAAAGACAAAAAGCTGTGAATGAGATGATGTGTCCAAACCTTTGACTGGTCGTGAACATTATGGGTTTAAATGCATTACCTGAAATGTTCCATTATTGAATAAAACGTATCTATATAACATTTGTTTAATTACAGGTGTGCTATAAAATCCTTTGAAAATATCTGCATTTAAAATAAAAAATGTATAGTGATTTCTTTTTTGTTTTCTTTTGCAGCAAGATGTTTGTTGGGGGCCTGAGTTGGGACACAACTAAGAAAGACCTGAAAGATTACTTTTCCAAATTTGGTGAGGTTCTTGACTGTACGTTGAAGCTTGATCCAGTGACTGGTCGCTCAAGGGGCTTTGGTTTTGTCCTCTTTAAAGATCATCAAAGTGTTGAGAGGGTATGAGCAATATGTCAAAAATAACAAACAAAAAGAACATCCATTGCTTACTCTTACTGTTTATTTTCTCAAGGTGGTTTCACAAAATGAGCACAAACTAAACGGAAAAGTAATTGACCCCAAAAAGGCAAAGGCTATGAAGGGCAAAGAACCAGTGAAAAAGATCTTTGTAGGAGGTCTCTCACCAGACACTCCTGAGGAAAAAGTGAGAGAGTACTTTGAGGCTTTCGGCGAGGTATGTCAAATGCATTTTAAAAGTTTGAGCCATGTATTATTAGAATTAAGTCAATATTCCAAATCAACAGGTTGAGTCAATTGAACTTCCCATGGAGAATAAAACTAACAAACGGAGGGGTTTCTGTTTTATAACTTTCAAAGAGGATGAGCCAGTTAAGACCATCATGGAGAAAAAGTTCCACAACATTGGTCTAAGCAAGGTATTTTTTCTGTAGAACAAATATTCTTATTACTTATTTACTTATATGCAATTTCTGTAGTGTGAAGTGAAGGCTGCCATGTCAAAGGAGCAGTACCAGCAGCAGCAGTACTGGGGCGGCAGAGGTGGATCTCGGGCTCGGGGAAGAGGTGGTAGGTACAGAATGAATTAATGTCTTCAGCAGGATATATATATAAATATATATATATATATATATTTTTTTTTAATATATATATATTTACATACATACATATATATATATATATATATATATATATATATATATATATATATATATATATATATATATATAATCTTTCTGCACTGCAGGTCCTAATCAAAGTTGGAACCAGAATTACGGCTATTGGAACCAAGGTTATGGAAATTATGGATATAATCATGGTTATGGAGGATATAGTGGGTATGATTATTCTGGTTACAACAACTACTATGGTGGATACAGTGATTATGACAGTAAGTAGCAATTGACTTAAAAACTGTCAGAAAATGGCCAGAAATATGCATGAAATATTGTTTTTCTTGGTGAACATTTGAAGGTCAGTCAGGTGGATACGGCAAGTCGCCAAGGCGAGGTGGTCACTCGAACACTTACAAGCCGTATTGATGGGGAAACCCAAAAGGACTATAGGTATGTATAGCTATGAAACCATGATGACTTGATGCTAAGATAGACAATTAACTGGTATGGGGCCATTTTATGTCTTTTTCTCAGCACCCACAAGTACTTACAATAGTGGTAACATAGACATTAAACTGTTGTGCTGATTATTATTTAACACAGCTGGCCTTCTGCTGCCTTTTTGCATCTTTTTTTAAATTGTAGATTTAACAGGTAAAGAACTGATACTACAATTAATGGATGGCAAAGTTGTGCAAGGTAACAGAAAAAGAAATGTTGTCTCCTAACTCTGACATACCTTGTTTGTACCTGCCAGCGGAGCTTCCTTGCAGGCCATGAGCTGACTCCCAGAAACTCTCAGGGCCCGCTCAGTGCGGACCGGGTTTGAGACGCATGAGCTCTCGAATGCTGCCATTTGGTATGGTCTTACAACATCCTGTATCAGCATTTCTAAACTAAACAGTATGGGACACTTCCAGCTTTGTCGTCATTCTCTCTACAAATTGTTCTTAATGTATTTAATGTAAAAAGTACACATAACAAACATATGTAATGTTATTTTTTACAGGCTCTTACTCCCCCACACGTAATTACTATATTTGATTTTTTAAAATTAACAATTTGCTTTTTAAAGGCTATGTTCAGCATTCTCAAGACTTTCCAGTTGATACTGTCATTATTACAATATATGCATTAATAATGCCTAAATGCTTGTTTCTTTATTTAGCCTGTAGTCCTTAAAACCTGGTTCGTATTGGACTCCTCTGTGGTGGGGGATAAAGTGCTCTTTTGTACATGTATTACTGTATTTTGTTACTGACAGCAATGGAAAAGTTTTCTCTATTATTTTACTCTAACAAATTTTCTCTTATTTTTTTTTCTTTTGTAAAACAAGAAGAAAATGAAGTGTCAGTACATTTCCAGATATTTGCATGTAATGCTTTTCCTTAATGTGTCCTTTGACAAATGGAAGATTTACGTATTAATGGGGATTTGTAGCTAATGAAATAAGTTTAAGTTTAGCTTTAAGTTATGCTTTTTAATGCTTCATAATTTCTTCTTATTCAAGTGTTTTTCTTTGTTTTATATAGGTATGTTGAGTGACTTCTGTCAACGGAAGGAACCTTTGCCAAGACGATGGGTATCGAGTAAAGTGCAATGACTGAATGAAAAAAATAGTACTATCTCATCGTCTTCAATTCTCTGAGTATTCTCTGAGTGTCTCATTTGACTTAAGTCTTTATGTTCTGTGCTTATTTAAATAATGCTCAATATCTGCTTTCAACAATTACGTGTCAATAATAACCTTAGGTGTGAGGCTCAAAAAAATGTATTACACTTTTGGCTTGGTCACATACAGCTTTGATGCATTATGATTATGCACATTTAATAATGTCAACAGTAAACATACAGCATATTCAATGTGCAACTTAAAAAATAAAAAAAATAATGTGAACAAAATAAGATGAACAAAATAAAGTAATATTAAATTCTCAATTTTCAAGATCGGAGTGTTGTAGTTGAAGTAGCTTTTTTTTTATTTACTCAGCCTTTATTATTCACATATTCTAATGCATATTGACACTTGAAAACACCTCTGAACAATTTATATTTGTAGAAGCATTCATGTTTATTAAAACTCGGGAGTTTTAGCGCATTTATTTTGGTCACGTGACGCGGCGCTGGCACTCCTTCCGGAGCCTGTTCCACGTGCGCTCCCAGAAACTGTGAGCAGAACACTAAGGCTATGTTCGAATTTCCACCCTAATTCTATTCACTGATTAGGCCCATTAATGATAGACCACTCACTCATTAGCGCCCTCTATAACGTCTTATTCACAGAGCAGTCCGGACATGCAGCGCGCTGCATTCAGGTCACGTGACTATGGCGTCTAAGTGAAAACCGTCCACTAAACTCCGGTAAACCTTGATTTATGTCATAAATAACGATCAGATCAGACTAACACACAAGGTTTTATGAACTAATAATAATCATACGAGTTTTTGTCACCCTGGATTTCACGTAAACAGACTGGATTATTTGCTTTTTGTCTGAAATGTAGAAATTACCTGTCTTTTAACAGTTGGAGCTAACTTGAGGTTAGTGGTTTTCTATGGCAAAATGTCTGTGGAAAGGTCTCACGTGTTCTCCACCATGTTAATTAATCTACCTAAATCTACTTTTTGTGTATCGTTAGTGCAAAAGCTATAATAACGCCCGTTGGTTTTGTCTCTGAACTAGGATGGGGAAAAGGGTTTTATCGAGAAATTAAAAAAAAACAACTGCTGAATTAGTACTGTGTCCTCTATAATCCTGGCTTCATGTATGTACATTTTCTACAAACTCACCCACAGCACCAGCTGTCAAAGCGTTCAAATGAAACTTTATGTATATGTAATTCTTTATGCAGTAGGTCAGCCAAAATTAAACATCGGCCTGTGCAGAAAATTTAAGGCGAGTTAAATTGAGGCTAACAACAATAGGATACCTGCACACATTAAAAAACTCTGCTCACAGTGTATGAACTAAACACTTCCTTCTTTGATTATCACACTATATTACACACGATATTATGCAGAGGGGAGAGCTCTGGACAAGGAGCAAGGACATGGATATTTTAAATAACACCTCAACAAAACTCAGAAGTCAGTTAAGCTTATTTTAGAACTTTTAAATGCCTAATTAACAAATACATGGAATAGCCAAGGTATAAATGTCGGGTTTAAACTTAAATAAATAGATTTTTTTTACCATCATATAGCCCAACATTACAATTAAAAAGTGCTCAGTATTTAGATAAATATAATTAACATCCTTAAGATTTATATAACTTTTGTGGCAAACAAAATGATGAGAATGACAATGATCAAAACAACCACACCAATTAAGATCATCATCTTAATATTTTTCCACCAGTATTTCCTGGCAACTCGAGAAGACGTTCTTTGGAAGGAGTCAGCCTGAAAATAAAAAATTACACAATCTTTCAGCTTCCAAGGTTAGTTGGGATCTTGCAGTGGTATCAGCAGTTTTAGTTTACAACAGAGGAGAAAGGTCACAAACAAATAGCCCAACTCACGGATGCTTGTAGGTCGTCTGTTTTGCCAATGAGATCATCTAATCGGTCCCCTCTTTCCAGCACCTTGTTGATATTGTCTTTGAGTATAACTTTCACCTCATTAACTTGACCTTGTACATGGTCAAGTTTAGCAGAGGAGCTAGAGGAGGGTGTTTGAACGTTTGGGTCTGCCTAGAAAATCACACACACAGTTTTAAATTAAAAGTTACAATTTCAGAGCCAACATTATATCATTTGAACAAAAGGATATAGAAGCCTCAGAGCAGAAAAGAGAACAGTTAGTGACTATGCCAGACTTCCTGAAAAAATGCTTACAAAGTGTCAGTTTGCATAAGAGAACTATGAGCAGAGAAAACACTGAGCTCCCTTGGACTTACACAGACACCATTGGCCTGGTTTTAATGTAGGCTGCTATTACAAATCTAAATGAAAGACAAACTTACCATTACACCACAGCATGTGTTCCTGTCACAACTGACATCAAAGTTCATCCAACAATCAAAGTCATGGTTAAAGGAACACAGATCATATTCTGAGTCTTTCTGTAAGATCAGGGTAAATGTCTAGTGAAGGTTGCACCTTGTGCGTTATTCATTAACTGGCCAACCCTTTACCACTGCCTCAAAAAGAAACACATGGTAGGCCTAACAACGTTGCACTCTCAGTTCCTGATGAACTAATCTAAAGTTGTATATCGTTAATTATATACATCAGTAGCAAAACTGTCAATAACAGATCTACTCACCATCAGCCGTGAGGAGTGGCGTACACTGGACGGATATTGAGGAGCAGAGGGCTGCGTTTGCTAGGCACAGATATTTGCAAGGCAATAAGGGTGAAGTCATCCGCTGGTTGAGTCCACTTTATTTCCTCATCCTGTTTTGCAGTGAGTTGTCAGTTGCATACTGTATGTTTTAGAGATGTTTAAGTAGAATTTACACATGAAGGCAATGTCTGGAGACCTTCAGGGCATAGTCAGTCTTATTCATTTTTGTCTCAACAGAAATTTAAAATGTATACTGAACAGTGTTGGGCAAATGAAAGTAGAAAAACAGAATACAGTTGTTTGCCTCGTAGTAACTTTTAGTTACTTCTTGCCAGAAATGTGTGTAATCTATACAACTGTGTTGTAAAACAGTAAAAAAGATAAACAAGTAGCACAGGATGTAATCTTCTGGTGCACACATATTTGCTGTGAACCAAAACAATACAAATGTTGGTTTAAGGAGGACCATGCGCATTGCCTCTGCTTGAAGTCAGGTTCTATAACAGAAAGTGTAATTAGTGTGAAGAATTCATGCTTTTTATAAGTTTGTTCCTGAGATATATATTATACTTTTGAGAAAAAGTAATCAGAGTTGTAATTAGATTACTTTTAATAAGTAATCATAGTCAGTAATCAGATTGATCAGATTCTGAAATTGTGTGCAGTCAAAACTAAGACGATGGACCCAAGAATATCTGGGAGGAAAAACTTCCTTTTCACCTCAGAGTCCGTAGGAGAAGGACATTCAGGTGAGTAATATAACACTAATGCTGTCATTTAGGGGTCTAATGTTCTGACCTGTCAAGCTACAAAATGCCAAAATGTTTTTACTTCAATAGAATTAATTCTACACACAATTCTGACCTGTCCTCCTCCTGATCTTCTTCTTGTGATGTTCATTAAAAATAACATATTTAAGGCTATAGGGTTGGTTAAAATAAAATAAGTTTTTCAGGTAATATTACTAATAAAGTGTCTCATTCACAGATAAAATGTGTGATCAGATTAGTGATGCTGTACTTGATGCTTATCTAAGTAAGGACCCTGACTCCAAAGTGGCCTGTGGTATGTACATTTTTGTATTGTTTTAAAGTTTGGTTTACCGCAATATATTAGCACTATGTGGCTTTTCTGATACTTGTCTCCACTGAGATGTCATTGCTTTGCTTGGAATGTTCCACAATTTGCCGCGTATTTATTTTGAACACTCAACACTGGTTTATATTGCATTATTCATTCACTTCACACTCATTGTGCAATGTTTTTTTGACAGAGTGTGTTGCAAAAACCGGCATGATTTTATTGGTTGGTGAAGTTACATCCAAGGCCATTGTAGATCTTCAGTTTGTTGTCCGAAACACAATAAAGAAGATTGGCTATGATGATTCAGCCAAAGGTGCAGCATTTAGCATTTATCTTAACCGATAAGTTATACCTGAATTAGTTGTGGATTTCTCTCTGATCTGCAGGGTTTGACTATAAGACTTGTAATGTCCTGATTGCCCTTGAGCCACAATGTGTAGAAATCTCTGACTGTGTCTTTGGAGGCAGAGATCAAGAGGACATTGGAGCTGGTGACCAGGTTTAGAATATTCAAGAATAAAAACAATAACAACAATCAAACATGTATAATTTAACATTTTCTTGCAGGGGCTAATGTTTGGGTATGCCACTGATGAGACAGAAGAGTGCATGCCTTTGACCATACTCTTGGCTCACAAACTCAACTACAGGATGAGGGAGCTGTCCCATAATGGAGAGTGTCCTTGGATACGACCTGACTCTAAATCCCAGGTCAGCTGCATATAATGACTCAAAAATGTACTTATTTATGATGTTTGCTTATAAAGGTTACTACTTCAGGTAACTGTGGAATATAAAGACAACATGGGGGCAATGGAGCCACAGCGAGTCCATACAGTTGTTATCTCAGTGCAACACAGTCCTGACATTACACTGGAGGAGATCAGGCACCAGATTATGGAGAAGGTGGTGAAAGTTGTCATTCCTGACAAGTATCTGGATGAGAAGACCATCTACCATCTTCTTCCAAGTGGGAAATTCCTATTTGGTGGTCCACAGGTGGGTATTCTGTAAACATTAATGTTTGAGGGATGCAATTGCATGTTTTTGCTGACCTGTGACATTTATGGTACTGGAAAACAGGCTGATGCAGGCCTTACAGGACGTAAAATCATTGTGGACACCTATGGAGGCTGGGGTGGGCACGGAGGAGGGGCTTTTTCTGGAAAAGATTATTCAAAAGTAGACCGGTCTGGAGCATATGCTGCACGCTGGGTGGCCAAATCTTTGGTGAAAGCTGGACTATGTAGAAGGGCTCTTGTGCAGGTGATGTTTGTTTACTATACTGCAGCGTATATTTTTATGATATATTTAGATTAGTGTAAAACTAACTTTTTACTGCTAGATCTCATATGCCATTGGTGTCAGCCATCCACTTTCTATCTCTGTGTTTCACTATGGAACGTCATCCAGAGATGAGGATGAGTTGCTGCAAATTGTACAGAAGAATTTCGACCTGAGACCAGGAGTTATTGTAAAGTAAGTAATGTACAGGGTATAGTATTTCAGTATGTAGTTGGTAAGTTATAGTTTATATTTTTTTCTGTAGGGAATTGGGTCTAAGAAGACCCATTTATCAGTCCACAGCCTGTTACGGTCATTTTGGCAGAGAAGAATTTCCCTGGGAGCAGCATAAACCATTGGTTTTCTAGAAGATGAATAAAACTGATATAACACAAGCTAAAAGCATAAATATAAAAGAAGTGCAAGTCAATATAAACCTTTAATTAAACCTTGTTGCTGTTTAGTATATGCTGTACATAAGTAAACCTGCATAGGGGCATGTTATTTTATCGGAGCAAGGAAAAGGTTTGTAATCATGACAATAAAGAAACTTTGAACGAGCTTGATGCCATAATTATGCCATATAAATGTTAGATAATTTAACATCTGGGACAAAGGTCCTGTTTGAACTAGTGATTCAGTGTAATTCAGTAAAAAGAATATGTTATCTCAAATTTAATTAAACCCTTGATTAGAAGGACCAATTGTAAGTAAGTGTATAAAATGCCCTTATATGGTAAATGGTCACATTTTCATACATTGCATTTCCACCTGAACCTGTATCTCAAAGTGTGTTACATCAAGGAGCTCATTCACACACACCCATTCACACACCCATTCATACACCAGAGTACGCAGATACTAGGGGTGAGATTGGTTAAGTAGGTTAAGCATTTATCTGAGGAAGAAGGAATCACACTGCCATCCTGTAGGTCAGTGGATCTGACCACTCAACTATTGATGTTTCTGTCAAGAGCAGGAACCACCAACCATCAGTGGATAAATGCTCTATACAGAAATAGTTTTATGTATAGCCTACAGAAATTACTGTGATATACTTAAAGGTATAATTACCAGACTCAACACATTGTTTAATAGTTGCTATCATCACCTAAAGACGGCGCTGTTGCACATGCATGAATATCAACAGCTGAAGAAAAGTCAGGATCACTTGCTTTGGCATGTGCAGAGCATAGTGCAGAGGCAGGTGACTCGGTGGAGCTGACAAGAGTAGCCTTTAGAACTATCGTTGATTTGGTAAATTAAGAAAAAATAAATGCTAAACAAGTCAAAATTAAATATTGAGCTAATAAAAGATATGTCTTCACTAGAATCTTTTAGTTCTTTAATTTCATTCATTCATTTGTAACTGCACAACCACAACAAAACTCTGAAATCCATAGGACATCCTTAAAGTGGTACTTTGACCAAGGTTGAATTGGTTTGATATTGGATATTGGACACATATAAAGACATTTACCTTATAATTCATATCACTGATGTTTTTCAAACAACTTGTGACTTCTTCATAATCATCCAGGGTATATATCACAAGACAGTAATTATTAAAAAATCATACTATGAGCTAATTTAGTGCATATTTGTGAATTCAACACTCATTTAACTTGTGATGTACAGATGTGGACAAAATTGTTTGTACCCCTCTGGTAAGGAAAGAAAAATCAACAATGGTCAGTGGTCAATGTTTTTCTTTTTTTGTTGTTGTCTTTGTTTGTTTTGTTGTTTGTTTTGTTTTGTTTTGTTTTAATAATTACTGTCTTGTTATATATACCCTGGATGATTATGAAGACATCACAAATTGTTTGAAAAGAATCTGTAATATACATCTCAAGTTAAATGAGTGTTGAATTCACAAATATGCATTAAATCAGCTCATAGTATGATTTTTTTAATAATTACTGTCTTGTGATATATACCCTGGATGATTATGAAGACATCAAAAGTTGTTTGAAAAAAATCTGTGGTTAAATGTCTTTGAATGTGTCCAATATCCAATATCCAATATCAAACCAATTCAACCATGGTGTACCTTTGTCCTATTGGGAGTTGAGTTAACAGCATGTGATAAAATAATAAATATTTGACATCACTGTTTGATGTTTCCTTCCAAACAAATCATACCGAATCATTTAAATTGGTAAAAGGTGAGGCAAAAAGGAAATGCATAAAAGGTGAGGCAAAAAGGAAAGTCACTGACAATGTATTGTCGCTCTGCTGTTTTCATTAAAACATTGTGTCATTTTAATAGAAATCTCTGTGTCTGCTTAATGTAGCTTTTGTAAATTGTACTGATGGTAATTTGTCTTCACTTTTTGGCTAGCTCTTTAACATCTCTTTATACCAGGGATCTCCAACCTTTTTTCTCCAGTGAGCTACCTTTACAAAACATAAATGCCAGAGAGCTACCAATTTCAGCAGTGCAAACGTTAGATGGGGAACATTTAGAAGTTTATAAAACATAAACCATTACCCATTTATCGGTGCACCAAGTTAGGTATTAAAATGATATATTTACAATGGTGGCTATTTGATTAATGTATAATTGTGATAACTCAGGTCACAATCTAATTGTGTTATTTTTTTCCGTTTTCCATTCCCATTTTCCATTTATATTTTCCATTCCATCTGTATTCCAGAAAAGTCAACATAAATGTACACTATGGCTGTTAATGCCGTATTATTTTTATTTAATCATTCAGAAAACTTGATTTCTTAAAGCTGGTCACAGACGAAATTTGTCGATTTGTGAATGAAGGTCGTAGTGTGTGGTCATAGTTTGAATTCTTGTGAAAAAAAAAGAATTGTAATACAGCGATATCCAAATGTCAATGTAGTTGTAATGTAGATCTAAAAGGGTCCTTAATAAATAAATGAATCATGGGTTTCTTTTTTTATTATTTAATTAATTCCAGCTTTGTACGCAGTGGCTAAAACCTTGTTTTTTTATTACCTCCGCCAAGGAGGTTATGTTTTTGCCGGCGTTTGTCTGTTTGTTTGTTTGTTTGTTTGTTTGTCTGTTAGCAGCATAACTCAAAAAGTTATGGACCGATTTTGATGAAATTTTCAGGATTTGTTGGAAATGTGACAAGGAAGAACTGATTTCATTTTGGGGGTGATCCGGAAGAAATCCTGGATTCTGGATCACTTTGAAATTTTAGTTAACATTGTGGTAAATGGGGCCAAAAATTTTGTTTCTCAATATCTCGGTTAATTATTGATCAAACCCCATGAAATTTGACTCAGGGATGGACAATGGGATCCTCTTTCATATTCCAAAGGCTGATCCGGATCTGATCCAGAAGACTGATTTTATCGCAATTTATATAAAATTTTTTTTTTTTTGCTTACTCAGTCCTGTTCTAAAGTGCCAAAGGGTTGCATACATATTAATGCCACCAAACATGAATGCACTATATGCCCTCATCTGTAATTTAAGCATTCCACACTGTTGTATTTTATCCCTTGTATCACCCCTGGTTACACCAATGCTTTTGTTTGCTGCTGTGATGGTGTTGTATTATTTAGAGGCAGAACAAGTTCTCCCTGTCTTCTCTCCGTTCCTAATTCTTTGAAAGCTGGCTCCTCTGGTCTTCAGTGGAGATACCACAGGGATCAATTTCAACTGTACAAATCCACTGGATCAGATCAGATGTGACTCAGTCATATGTACTGCGCCAGTGTTGTTGTACATGGAAAACCAGGAGTCTGCAGCGGTGTCCTTGAGAAGGAGAGCAGGAAAAAACTTAAGATTATGATTGTTTTAGAACATGACACAATAAACTGTAACAGCTTTAATATGTAATCAATAATGGAATGAGAATGAAACTTGAGATTTGTTTAATTTCACTTTCAGTTCTTTGTGGTACCAGGAGATAGGATAGAAAAAAGTTCCTCAAGATACTCTGCAAAGCAAGTGGTCCCATTTTGGTACACCATTCCATCACATAAACTGAATGCTCATACATACATTTTCTAAATCATGGTTACTTCAGAATCAAGGCAGGTCATAGATTGTAGTTCATGATCTTTCTCAGTGATTATATCTGTCATTCTGTCTAGTTTTTTTTAACTAAAACATATATTCACAGAGTATAAACATGGTTAATGGACTGTACTCACATGATTCTTTATTCAAGGTAATGTTTGATTGTTTGGAATCAGCAGCATAATTTTTCTTAATTCATTTTGGGGTTTTGTACTAAAAACTGAAAAAAGCTTTTGAACATTATGCCTTCTTCCACACTGGGGGGTCAACATGAATCTCTAAGGTAGAAAGTTTGGCAGTTACTGTGGTAACACATTAGCAAACATTGACAGTTTCTGTAATCCCAAGAAAAATTATACGGATGGAAACAACACATTTTTAGGATTCTGTAATCATTAATAGTGTTCATGGTCCTGTTTAGATGTTTGATTTTACAAGAAAATGTAACAGTAACTGAAAAACTGGCTGATGTTAACTATCTTGTGACTGTAATGTCTTTTCAGAGGGAAAGCACAAATCATTTCATCTGTTATAGTTCCAGTTAAGTCAGTTCTTAGCTCGCCTCAGACAAAAACAAACCTCAAACAGAGCAGTGCCTACTTTTAGAATCACTCCTGGAGAATGTTGATGAAATCAGCTGCAAAGTATCAATACAGTGGGTTGTCATTCAAAGGGGAAAATCAAACACCATTGACTGTCTTATTGGGTAAAACATAAATGAGTAGCTGGCTTTTAATGTATGTGAATATTAAAATAGAAAATTATAATTCAGCTACAAAAAGGGCATGCTTGTGATAAAATATACACTTCATCTGGTGATGTCACATCCAGCTCACCAGGATTTGCACTTACATCAAAGGGCTCTCATCTCTATTGCCTCTTTATCTCCATCACCTGAATGGAACCTTCTCATTTTAATGCTTTATAGGCCCATGGCACCATTGGCTTAGTGGTTGCTATTTCAATTTCCTTCTTGTGCTTAAACCCCCACCACTTCCATCACCAGCACTTCTTATCTTGTGTTTAATGCATGTTTTAATTGTCATACTCTCTTTTATGCTCATTAAAGTGTTACTATGCACAATGGTTAGGGTATTAGAGTTAAGAAATTGTATGCATACTGATGAGGATGCAAATGAAGTTGCAGTGTGAAAGGATATGGTTAATGATGGACAAGTATGGTGGACTAATTATTCCTGGGAGGTTACATAGTGTCATTATCACCGACACAGGCGTCTCTCTGCAGTCCATCCATAGAAATCATGCTAATTGGAGTCTTAAACAATTTTTTATGCTTCACTGTCCAGGGTACTGAGTACTGTTTGGAAAGATTTGTGAACCAGAATAATGCAGTCAAAGGGAGAAAGACAAAGAACCCCAAAAATGGCTTTTAAATTAAAACCTAGTCAAAAATGCTGTCATGTTGTCAATAACTATGCCAAATTAAATAGGAAAAACTTCCACACTGACTGGATCATCAGATGGTGAAGACATGCTCTGGTCAAAGGTAACATGCCTGCAAATATGCTTAAGTGTATGCCCTTAATTTTGAGTA